CCTCCCTCCCTCCCTCCCTCCCTTCCTACCAACCTACCTCTTTCCCTCCCTCGGTTGGCGTGCCCGGGTGGGCGATCAAAAGGTGGTGGCGCGCGTGAGCGGCAGCATCCGGGTGGCTCTGCACGTGTGCGAAGTGGCGTTGGGCAATCGGGTGCGCGAGCTGGAGAAGAAGTGCATCGCCGCCTCCTCGTCGCAGTCGCCATCGGAAGCTCCTTCTGCTGCCCAGAGCGCGGCCGCGTCTCCATCGGCAGGAGCAGGCAGCGGCGGCGGCGGCGGCGGTAGTAGTAGCAGTCGCGGCTCGCCTTCCCCCACCGGGCCAAAGACGGCGGCGGCAGTGACCACGTCCTCCGTCCTCCTCACCGTCGACGGGGCTAAGGCCGCCCTCAACGAATTTTTAGCTTGGCAGACGGAGACGCCGGGCAAAGGGGCGGCGGCGGCGGCGGAGGTAGGGCAAGGGACAACTCCCCGCTAGCCTTAGGGGCTGCTGCTGTCGCCGCCGCGCAGACACTCGTGAGGAGTTTGGGGCGCACCGTGGGGAGATGGGGGGGGGGGGGGGGGNGGGGGGGGGGGGGGGGGGGGGGGGGGGGGGGGGGGGGGGGGGTGACTCTGTGGATTTTCTGTGTCGGGGTCCCGTCTACCCGGCCTCTGTGTGCGGGTGTTTCGGTTTTGTCGTTGGAGGTGGTGGCGACTGCTTGTATGTGGTGCCGTTATCTTTGCTTGTGGCGTAGAGGCACGGTGTGGTTGTATCCGCAGGCTTTCGCCGCGAAGTGACTGCTGTTGCAGTGCCATACGGTTGTTGTGCTGCCCGTCCGGGGGCTCCATTTGTTCCTCTGATGTTGTTGTGTGGCTTGAGAGTGTGAGTCCGGAACACCTCCCAAGGTCAGAGTTGTGCCTCTCGCGCTGTAGCACTGCTGTGATTGAGAGTCTGTACCGTTCGAAATACGGCGCGGGGCAACCATCGTCGTTGTCCGGTCTCGTTGGCAATCAATCAAGGGGGGGGGGGGGGGGGGGGG